TTTGAAACAGTATACCAGGGTTTGGGGCATTTATAGTGAGTGGATTACCACCGGGGACAAAAGCGCTCCACTACCGCAGCGATGAGCCACACAGCACCGCTGCACGCTAATCTGGCCCCTATTGAAAAGAGGTCAGCGGTGCACTGAGCCATATTCGTGAACAAAAGAAAGTTACATAACACAGCACAATCTGGGCTAAGGCTGCAGGCCTTGCTGAAATACTCGGGCGTCAATGAAGGTCGCCTGTCAACTTAGAGTAGTGCCTAAAGATTACTTCATGCGGCTGTAAAGGACCGTTATTAAATGAAATGATGAATTTTTGAAGGATTTTTAAAACGGAAAAAATGATAGTCATGCCGGCCCAGCATCATCAACATTGAAAAATGCCCCGGCATGAAGTGGTTAAAGTGAATTACAACGTCCAACATAGTACTGGTACTTACGAGTTCTCAAGCCCTACGTGGACATTTTTTAATAAGTTCGCACCAGAAGGCACAAAATCCCTTTACCTTGTCAGAAATTGCACCAAAGGTCAGGAGAATGCTGCGTACATGTATCTGTACATAGATAATGTTGTGTCGCTAGTAAATTGCTCTCAGGACCAGTTATTAGGGTTCTGAATCAGAACGCTGACCTCAAAAGTCTTTGCTAAGCAAAAATTAGTACAGGTGCTTTGGAACAAAGATGACAAGAGTAAAGGTGGAGTTATTGATATGCAAATGCTTGTGAAAGGACTCAACATTTCTATAATACCTTATTGTAAAAACATTTAGATTCGATCTCATCAATGATACTATTATTGCTCCAAACATATCTGCTTCTAAGTTGGATTTCTTTTGTACCACCTCATATTTTTGATGTATTTGTTGGATTGAGAAGAGCCTGAGGACTTGACTTACAACTCTTGCCTGAATTATGCCACACCTCTTTGACCCTTTTGATGCTGTATACAATTTAAAAACCAGTTTTGCTAAAGGAAAACATTTTAAATCAAATATGATGCATAATTTTATAACTATGATTTGCATATCAAATATGTAAATATGTTTTGTTGACTTCGTATTTGATAAAGTTGAGGTTGAAGAATAAAATTATGGTTTTAAGTTTAAACAGTTTTACTGTTTCCTTTGGAAATCACGGAGAAAGTGTCAAACCGTACAGCCGTACAAAATTACACACAATTACAAACCAGTGTATTGTAGCATCATCTAACAAACTGTTTTTGGGAAGGGTACACTTAATCAAGGTATGAAACATCCAATTTATATAATTTTTTTTTTACCTTAAACCATAGCTAGCAATACATATTGTCTTATGCCCCTCCAACCTAGTGTTCAAACTCTTCACCATAGTTGATTAGGAAGAGGATGACTCCTTATGGAAAAGCATTTCTGTAAATACTGTGGTTTTCAAGTGCCTACTCAAAACACACCTATCTCCCAAAATGTGATTATGTGATGTTTTTGTTTAATTTTTGTTTGAAATTTTAGGTAATTGTTTCCTTTTTGTGGGGTGTTGTGTGTACCTTGTAGAGTGCAGTTTTTTGTGTTACTATTATTATATAATTATTATATTTTGAATGGTCTTATTTACCTCTCATTAGATTCAAAGATACATAACAGAAGCTGGAAGTTCCACAGTGACTGTCAGGGGGACCAACTGGGAGTTTGAAGAGGAGGAACAAGTTGGAAGTGGAACTGAAAGTGAAACCCAAGATATGATGCAAACCACTGCATCTATTGTCAGTAGGCTTCAGAGCAAGTTACAAGCTTTAGAGGATCGCAAACTAACTTGCACACAAATCCTTCAGGAGTAAGGGCATTTTTATTTTTTCTAATGTTACAGTGTTGACAGGACATTCCCCCCCCCGAAAAAAAAATGTAATTTTGAGACAAGGAGCCGTATCAAATTACTACTTGGGTGCGCACATATTTGTATACAAATCTATGGGCCTTGTGGTTGATTAACCAGTATGGGAAGGGAGTTAAACCTTTATTTAAGTATTGAGAAGAATACATCTTTACTACCATTACTTGTCACACGTTAAATATGTAGGCATTATTTCACAATATTGTAAGGAAAGATATTGAAAGATATTCTACAAATTACTGCCTGTGCCTAAACAACGCCTAGCAAATTAGAGATGCCATAAAACACCAATATCTTTCTTGACTAATGAGAAGCGCTCTATAATATGATAGCGTAGCACAAGATGGCGGACTCATGTATGGATGAAGTCTAATCGAGTGACGAAGAATATTGCCAGAAATGTTGCTATATGTGCATTTCCCCTACAAAAACATCCACTGTCAGTCAGGCCATAATTGCACGAGGTTTCGTTCATGCACATGCTGCAGAAATGGAAAGATACGGTAACAGCATTGCATCTTTGATGCCCGTTTCAAACAATGCCAGTTTTCATCACACTTGCTGTGCAAGACTTGTAATCAATTTGAGGCAAAATAAATTGCAGCTTCAAATAATTTATCACCGCGGGACATTGGAGGATCGTTGTCACTAAATGGGTCAGTAGTGGTCACTCACAGTTGTTTGCACGGTGATTTAATGCCTTGAACTAGTTACTGGCATGACTTTAAGATGTTAGTAGCTTTGCTCTGGAGAGAACTCCGGGTCACTTTTGCTTGAGGAGTTGTGGCATTTGGTTGGCAAAAAGATAAGTCAGTCTGTTTTTGCCAAAACATCCCTCCTGCACCCCATTCAGTCCCACCACCTGCTCAGCCATAGCTTACTTCAATGCCTCTTTTGTTGCTTTGTAAAAACTTCAGTGTGCATTCCGTCAGTAGTCCACTTTGCCAATTCTAGAGTAATTAACAGCGATCCTGTCATTCCTGTACTCAGTTGCCAGCTTTTAAGGAGCCAGAAGGTAATTTTCTCCCTTTTATTCCTTAATGGTTTTAGGGGGGTTTTTCACCCTTATTAGAATTGGCAGTCACCGACTTTGGTGGATGTTGGCGTGAATTTCATTCAGGGACCACAACTTGACCTCAGGTTTTAAGTCACTGTATTATTTTGTGTGAAAAGATGATGGTACTTTCCCATTCAGTGACACTTGATAGCGAGAGCATGCTTTCATCCCTTCGTATGGGACTCATCAGTTGCAATGTGGGTGATTCCGGAGACGGAATCATACGAACTTGCATATGGTTCAAGATTAAATTTGTGAGCCAAGAGTGGGCATATAATTGTGTTGTGGTGGGGCAGCCTTATGGTTTAGCGGAATGGAAACGAGGTTGAAACCTTTTCCAAACACGATCTTTTCAGTGTTGGTTAGTGTTGCTTTGGATAGGTTGGTTATGAAGGCTTCAAATTGTTCCGTTAATAGGTTTATCCGGTTGGATTTGGCGATCTTGGCCTTAGTTCAGTATGTTGTGGAGACACAGTTCTATTTCCGTTAACTGTACGTTCTCTTCCTTTATTCAATATTTTGTTTTCTTTTGGCCATTGCTTTGACTCTGGGTTGGTTGTAATAAAGGAGTGTCGTTCAGGGTATATGGATGTATTCCTCAATTCGATATGTGTAAAGTGAAAGTAAAGGGAATAATTGGGGGGTTATGGTTATACTCCTGTATTAAGATCACGTGTATATAAGACAGCAGTGGCTAGAGATATTCTCTTTTAGATTTGTGGTGGTCTTGAAAAAGACCGTTTGGTTTGAAAAGACTTATCTTCGTGTTGGTGCTTCCTCTTCACTCCTTCTGGTTGGGTCTTTGGCCGAGTGATGTAGTCAGACAAGTTGCGGGCTGTGGTGTAGTTGTGGCTTGGTGAGGAGTAATGCTGTTTGGTTTTGGAGTTTCTTCCACCATCCGAGAAGGAGCTCTGAAATTTGAGCAAACGGTGTGTGTTTGAGGTGAACGTACCCTGAGGTAGGCCTACATTTAGATGTAGTCCGATGGTGTTTGAGTCTCAATTGCCTTTGACGGAGAGTGTGTTGGTCGGGTGATGTGAGTTTTGACAGAAATAAGTCTGTTTACTTTATTTGTCAGACTCCTTACCCGTTGGAATTGTGTGTCAGTTAGGCGGTGCGGTTGCAGGACTCGTTCTCCGTTGGTTGATGGTTGTTCAGGGGACTGCACTTCCAGTGACAGAGGAAGGGAATCATTGTCACCAGAGGTGTCGTGGGCTTGCTTGTTATTCGCAGAGGATGTTAAAATCAGAGCTGGACATTGCTGACGGCGGTGCTCGACGGCTGGCCTGGATCTTGTCGTTACCCGATGACTTGCTGAGTGTATAGATGTTGTCTGAACAGTTGTGGGACGGCTCGACTGGGTGTTTACAATGTGTTGTTTGCGTAACGTGGTAGAGGGTGCATTGGAGTGTGGCGCGTTGTGATTGGTCAGTGCATTGCCCAATGGGTGCGCTGATGCACTGGTGGGGAGAATCCCAGTTTTTTCGGCTGGTGTGTGTTTCTTTTCAGATGAAAAGTGCTTTTTTTGAGGGGTGGCTTTGGGTAAAAAGTGGTCGGAAATTGTGGTTCCGGTAAAGGTGTTGTTTTGGTTTGGTTTATGTATGTTTAGTGCGAAAAACTTATTCAAATCGTAGGCGATTTGGGGATTGTGGTTGTTTTTCGTTGAAATGCTGGTGTTTCCCAGTAGTATGTGAGTTCTATGTCTGTCAGAACCATACAGACTCACAAAGAGATCGTATCCTTGCATGGTGCTACCGCAAGCTCTCCACCTTAGTTGTCTGTCACCATGAATAGCTTGAAAACAAGGCTGGATTATTACCACTTTTGAGAGTGAAAAATGTCGATAAATCCCAGCAGCCTGGTCTTTTGTTTGGAGTACGGTCTTTTGTTACAGGGCCCTGTTTCCTTTGTCCGAGTTCGGAGACCCAGGCCACGCATATAAACCATACGTCTCCGATTCCAGTCTCCGGCAGAAAGTGGTTAAGCCCAAGTCAGGTCACACTTCATGGAAATTGCTGTCCAATCACAGTGATATTGATAACTAAGGATGGTTGGTCCTAAAGATATTCTATACTGGAGTAGATCCTTGTTTATTTGTTCTTGAGAACTGGGTAACTTTGCATTCTGTCATTTGTAATTGCTCTTTGAATTTGCATATCAAAGGCGTTGTACCCCTCAGGTACATTCCAAAATGATTTACCGCTCCATCTGCTTTGGGTGGAAACAAATTATGATAATTTCTTTTTTTATACATTGTTTTGCTGATATTTTACATTTTACTGATATTAGTTGCTGTTCCACGTCACCAACTTCAGGCGGGAACAATGGCTGATTTCTCTAGAACCGGTACTTTCTCTGATATTAAATTGATGTTCCGCATCACCAGCTTCGGGCAGGAACAATCTCTGTAATTTGGTGAATAGCTATACTTTGCCTGAATGTGGTGTAAGTTATATGCAGTTCCGTTTCACCAGCTTCGGGCGGGAACTTTCTCTGTAAATTGCTGAGTAGCTATTCATCGATTGTATGCAATGTAATTTTTGCAGTTCCACATTACCAGCTTCGGGTAGGTAACACCTGAACTGTGTCAATTTCAATTAACGGCTCCTCAGGCCAATCAGCAAAACTTAGAATGCGAGTGCCCACCTGTCCCTAAGTTCAGTTCTCTGGTTGTGTTCATGTGGGGATAAACAGCACGTTTTGTGTGTGCAAAAACGTGTCACCAAGAGCAAAGAAGTGCTTGCAGCTAGTGTCAACAGTACCATACCGGTATGTTAATGTTTTATTTTACTTTAGGCCTAGGGCGTATTTGCACTAGGGCAATATCAGTAAACAAACATAGCCCCTACACGTACATTGTTTCAAACATTAACTGAATAAAATAAGGCCTAAATAGAAGTGGATAGCAAATTTGCATACAGTTTCTCACTTTTTTGCTAGCATGGTAGCTGAATATTATATGATGCAATATTTTTGTGAGGACTACACTGTCATGAAAAATAGATATGTAATACAAAACTGCTGCAAACTCCTTGCTGACTACAATAACTTAAAATACAAGTCTCAAAGTATGGATGGCCTGATGTTTTGATCTGAGCAGAATCTTTCTCAAAGGCAAAATGACAAGTGGACAGGACAAACAAGCAAACAGAGAATCAACATTTTGTGATTTGTATTTTAGGTCATTGTAGTCAGCAAGCAGTTTACAGCACCTTTGTATTACATTTCTATGAAAAATAGTTGATAACATTTGACGTATTTTCCTTTTAATTGGAAATTACAAAGGGAATTGGGCCTAGGTCAAACCTTATAAATAGGGTGTGATTAATCACCAAGAAAAACTTAAAAAGCCTTTCATTGTTAGGCCTCATCTTCAACTAATTATGATAATACAGGCCACTCAACCAAGCACTGATTGTGCCAAGCTTAGTTTGCAGAATAGGTGACTGTACAATTTGATATTCATGTATGCAAATCAATAAACATGTACATGTATCATGCTTCTGAGTAGAAAAGTCCAAAGAATTTGGCAGACAGTGTTAATAGCCTGTTTTTATACCTCAGAAACTGGAAAAACTGTAGTTCTGGGCACACCTGTGCCAATTTCGACAGCTAATCTCCAAACAAAGATAATCCACAATGTGCATTGTACATGGCTTTCCATGTGATGCTGTAACCATTCGGCTTGCTCGCATGGAGGTCATGACCTCCCATGGCGTTTTCACATTTTTGGCCAAATTCCCTATCTTGTGTTGCTTCGCAGTGCTAAACAGTCTTGTGATTCATAAATATCCCTTTGGTCCAGCATGTCAGTTGTACCAATAAAATTCATTGCAATTATTAACTGTGCTTGAAAAGGCTTCACTTTTAAGTGCAGGCTTTTGTG